TTTTAGAGAAAGGGAGATAATAGACAACCGAAAACTGAGACATATGTGGTTTGGTTGCTATTGTTGATTATTGAACAAATATGGATGTGATAATTCAACCTACCACGATGGGATAATGTTTCAGTGGCAAACACCCATTGTACGATTAGAATCACCAATAGCAGTGCTTATCCTTTATTTATATCTATCACGACGAACACAATTTAGGAGCCCTAAATACCAAAACACATTTTTAATGGAAATAAGTAGAACAAATAGAACATGAGTTCACGAGGTCACTTTAATAATCCAATCTTAAAGTGGCAAATTGATAGAACTTATTGATTGGTGGATTCAAGAATTGGTGGATCCTAATGGCATTTAGATCGAATCATTATGAAATTTTTGGTACTAAAACATTGTAATAAAATAAAATTTTATGTGCTAAACTATAATTGCCAACAATCCATGAGTTTACCAATTCGATTGGATTTGGATAAAATGAATTGAATCTAAACTAATTGAATAAATTAAATATTTTAGTAGATGAATTGGGTTATTGAATTCACCAAAATTGTGAGCTTTCCCCTGTATAACTGGAGTTTGGGTAATTATCTTCAATATAATAGCGGACTACGCTTTATTGGCCCAAACTTCCAACAACTGTTTCAATTCCTGTCGTTTTGTGTGGCAACCAGTGAGAGAGCTTTGCATAACAGCTTCCCAAAAACGTCCTCGCGGCAGCCGGCCATCCCTTCCCTCGCGCCCTTACCCTAAAATCAGCAGCCGACCATGTCTGTCTGCGATTGTACCCATCCTTTCACCATCTTGCGGAAGGAAAAAGAGCCATCTCTTGCCCTGTTACACACTAGCTTCATCTCTCCACTGATGTCCCTTCTCGGGCTCTGGGATTGTACCCTCACCCCCATTCCTCACCAGTCACCCCAAATCCCGCCATCCCGTTGTTCTTTTTCAATGGTACAATCGCCTCAACAGCACACTTCGGCACACAATCCACAGAGGAAGCCACCTCTCCCCGTCATTCTTCCTTCCAACACCCACCCAACCACCAATTCCACCTTATCTTTCGATTTCTTTTCCTCTGATACCCGATTTCTTTGCAATTTTTGTTTTTCTTCTCCTCTCTCTCTCTCTCTCTCTCTCTCTGTAAAATTAGACGAGAATTAAGAGAGACGAAGGTTTAACGTGGTTCTTCCTCACAGTGTGTGAGGCTTACGTCCACCGAGAATGATGGTGATTTTATTTCTTGATGTGGCCGATGGCCTTACAACTGTTTATATACCCTATTCTACAAGTATCATCTAGGGTACAACTGCTTCTACGATTACAAGGAGGAGAAGGAGTCCAACTTCTGCACGTCAAAGCTGCTAGTGCATGGGCGACTGCATGGGCTTGAGGGGCAACGTTGGAGACGGCCTTCTCTATCTTCTCTGGTACGGCCTCTCGGCCCAATACTCCCCCGCAAGCTGAGGCGTGGAGATCTCGAACACTCAGCTTGGACAGAAGGAAGTGAAAACGCTCCGCACCCAGTCCTTTGGTGAACAAGTCAGCAAGTTGAAGTTCTGTACGGACTTTGATGGGGAGAATGTCGTGAGACTGAACCCGCTCATGGACAAAATAACAATCCATCTCCACGTGTTTAGTGCGCTCGTGGAAGACTGGATTATTGGCAATATGAACAGCAGCCTGACTATCACAGTGTAAAGGAGTGGGACGAGTTTGCGGAACACCGAGCTCACTGAGAAGCCACCACAACCACAAGATTTCACTAACTGCGCTAGCCATGGCACGATATTCAGCCTCAGCGGAGGACCGAGCAACTACCCGTTGCTTCTTGGTGCGCCAGGAAATGGGAGCACCGCCGAGACTGATGAAATACCCTGTGGTAGAACGACGAGTTTGCTCACAACCACCCCAATCAGAGTCACAGTAGGCAGTGAGCTGAAGTGGGTTATCATTCGGGAAAAACAAGCCCTGTCCGGGTGATGCTTTAAGGTAACGGAGAACACGGTAGGCTGCATCCAGATGCTGCTGGCAAGGAGAAGTGACAAACTGGCTTAAAATGTTGACGGCATAGGTGATGTCGTGCCGTGTGACAGTCAAGTAGAGGAGGCATCCAACCAAACGCCGGTAAAGGGAAGGATCGGGCAAAGGATCTCCTCCAGAACGCGTGAGATGATAATTTTGCTCGACTGGGAAGGCGCTAGGATGAGTCCCTTGAACACCTGCATCCTCCAGAATATCCAAGACGTATTTGCGCTGACTAAGAGAGACTCCCGTGGCCGTACGTGCCAACTCGATACCCAGGAAGTAGCGCAGAATGCCAAGATCCTTGATAGTGAATCGTTGATCGAGGAACTGCTTGACCTGGTTGATAAATGAGAGATCATTCCCTGCCAGGATAACATCATCGACATATATCAAGGCTGTGACGAACGTGCTGCCTTTGCGATAGACAAAAAGAGAAGCTTCTGCCGGGGAGGAACGGAAACCAAATTCACAGAGAGCAACCGTGAATTTGTGATACCAATTACGAGATGCCTGACGAAATCCACAAATGGATTTATGCAACCGACACACTCTGGTGTTGCCAGGCTGACAAAAACCCTGTGGAATTTCCATATAGAACTCCTCATCGAGATCACCGTGAAGGAAGGCATTGTTGACATCCAGTTGATGAATATGCCACCCACGACTGACAACAACCGCAATGAGGCAACGAACAGTAACCAACTTGGCAACAGGTGCGAATGTGTCGTGGAAATCAAGACCTTCAATTTGAGTATATCCCTTTGCCACAAGACGAGTTTTGTAGCGCTCTATTGTCCCATCGGGGTAGAACTTGATCTTAAAAACCCATTTTGACGCAATGGCGTGTTTCCCCGGTGGAAGATACATCAAACTCCAAGTTCCATTTTTCTCCAATGCTGCAATTTCATATGCCATGGCTTCACGCCAACAAGCTTGTCGAATGGCTTGATAAAAGAACCGCGGCTCGTCCAGACGTGTTTGAGCTGCAAGAAAGGCACGGTAAGTGGGCTTAAAATTATCATAATTGACATAAGCAGCAATTGGGTATTTGACAAGATTAGTGTTACTTCCCTAAGACTTGTGGGAAGGAAGATCTGTTTCATAAATGGCAAGGTGTTTGGGATGCCGCCGTTCTCTATCATTGTGACGGAGGACAGGTGACATGGACTGAGCCGTGGGCCCAGGAGATGGGATGCGCTCAACTGATGGACGAGGCGAGGAGGACGGCCCGGGCGAGTTTGTGGGCTCATGCGGGCTGGAAGAAGATGTGGGCCCGGGAGAGTCTCCAGATGGGCCTGCACTGGAGGAAGGTGAGATCGGGTCGATCTCTGATGCTGGGCCGGTCTCCACTTCAGGATGCAAAAAGCTGAGTGCATCTGAGTCATGAAGAGGTGTTGTTGTGGGAGTGTCATCAACGTATGGAACTGGTGGTCGAGGTATTCAATGTAGAAGTTTTGTGGTACCATCTTGAAAGGGGAATGTATTCTCATGGAATTGAACGTCACGAGAAGTAATGAGTCGTTGAGTGGACAAATCAAGAATGCGATACCCTTTCTAACTAGTGGCGTATCCCAAAAACAAACCAGCTCGACCCCGCTCGCCAAACTTGTCAAGGCGAGCATGCGTATCTTTGTAATAAACCAAGCAACCAAAGACACGGAGATGTTGATATTTGGCTGGTTTACCGAACAACTGCTCATATGGTGTCTTTCCCGTTGCTGTAGTGGGGAGGCGGTTAATGAGATAGACCACCGTCAGAATACATTCGCTCCAAAACTTCACCGGAAGACTAGCCTGGAAACGCAGTGCACGAGCAGTATCCAGAATATGACGGTGCTTCCTTTCAACTACACCATTATGCTGTGGAGTATCTGTGCAAGAAGTCTGTAAAAGGATCCCCATGTGAGCATAATAATCTTTGAGAATATCGGTAGCGAAGTCATGACCGTTGTCTGCTTGTATCCTTTTGACCGAATACCTAAACTGTGTATGAACCATGCTGCAAAACTGCATCAAACACTTTCCCACATCTGATTTATATCGTAGCAAATAAACCCACACACCACGAGAATAATCATCAACGATGGTCAGAAAATAATATGCACCACTTAGGGATGCAACCCTGTAACCTCCCCAAATGTCTACATGAATAAGTTCAAAACAAGCCGATGTTTTAATCATACTAGACCGAAAAGGTTCACGTGTTTGCTTAGCACGAGCACAAGGATGACACAGACCATTATTGAGAGTAAACTTCACCGATAATAAAGAACTAAGATAAGATGCTTTGTCAAATGATGGATGCCCCAGACGAGCATGCCAAATCGACTCCGAGATGAGACTCCGGCGTTGCACTACACAGGTTTGCGTTCGACCCGGACCAAACAAACGCAAGTAATAGAGACCATCACGCAGCTCACCCTTCCCAATCAATTTCTTGGAGCATAAGTCCTGAATCACGCAAAAATCGTCAAGAAAGATCAAGGCCACACTACAAAAAACTGGACTTTTAGCGACGGAATTGTTAGCGACAAATCAGAATTCGTCGCAAAAGGACTGTTTTTAGCGACGAAAGTTAGTTGTTCGTCGCTGATTAAAACCATTTTTTCGGCCGCAAAATGAGAGATAAGAAGATTGTTTTTGCGACGTATTTAAGGGTTTCAGCGATGAAAATATGCGTCGCAAAAAGTTCTGCGCTAAACAGCGACGATATTTTCGTCGCAAAAACCTTAAACGTATCTGCGACAAAGCAAATCGTCGCAAAAACCTTAAACTTTTCGGCGACGATACTTTTTTGTCGCGATTGAAACTTTTAACTTCATTGCAGAAAATTTTAAAATTAAAAATAATAGAAAATTTCCAGGTCATGGTGACTTTATTCCAAACGGTGCCGTTATCTCTTATCATCTTAGGTTACAAAACCCTCTTCCCTCTTATCTCCCTTTAGAATCCCACACACAAATATACAATGGAGCCTCTCCCTTCAGACCAATGGCGCCGTCACAGCGTCACTCCCAACCCCTCATCGCCCCTCGCCTCCGCCGTCTCTCCAATTCCTTCGTTTTTTTCTTCACATCAATCATTCTCTGTCCTTTACCAACATCCATCATCCATATTCTGTCCAACCGGTCGCCGATTGACTGCAAGGTCAATCCCCTTTCCAACCTCCACTGCTGGGTTCTTTCACTTACAAACCTTACCATTATAAGGTGAAACGAAAACCAGGCGAAGCTGTTAGGTCCTTCGTCAGTGGGTCTCTCATCCATACTCGACAAAATGATGCCCGATTTCTGGTTCGTGTGATGATGTTATTGGACTATAAAGGTGAAGTATGTTCTTCTATCATCCTTGCGTTTCTGTTTTGTACTCTCTTTCAGCTTGTTTTTCACTTTTGGGATTCAGACACTCGAAATCGGAGAAAATATCGAAGGACTCTCGCCAGAATTAGGGTTCTTCTTTTTGTGATTTGGTTAGGGAGGGCCGAGTTATCCATTTGGCTGCCGGAGCTTTCTACTAATTGGGCCCTTCGTTTAGGCTTGAGTACCGAGATCTAAGACTATTCTGTATATAGATTCGTCTGATTGCACTTTTTCCTCTGAAATTTTCTGATTATCTTTGATTTTGCTCTAATAAATGAATTTTGGGACTTATTCTTGTATATATAGATATGTAAGGCTGGTTGGTCGGTAAGTGGAGATTAAACCCGATAGGCAAGTAACTCTCCAAGAAAGATGTGCTTTAGGTAGTGAGTAATTCTTTCATAGGTCTCTTGCTGGGATGAATGATATGCGTTTCTTTTTTACTTCCAATTTTCAAACAAAAATAACTGGGGTTCCCATCAGTTCCCCTGTTCGTGTGTAAGCTTTTAGCTCATGATGCATGAATTTAGACTTCCAATATATATTTGTCTCAGTGGTATGATCTGATATCTTAACTCATCAGTGCTTCCCTATATGTTGTTAGTTTATAGATCTTTTTTGTTGTTAACAAGTTTGTGTGATATTGCATAAAAATTATGTCATATATAGACTAGATGCAGATAGGGCATAAAGATGATTCAGACAATACGTTAGATAAGTGTGTTATACATAGATCTATGGCTAAGAAGAAAGGTTAGCCTTCGGGTAAGTTTCAGGCCTTTCTTTCTTTGTTTTGAAATGTGTTACTTTGTACTTGGTGGGAATTGTACTCTTCTGTGATTGATGTGCTGATAATGATATGATGATGTTCTAGTAAGATGATTAAATTCATTCACTTTGCCTTAAATTGCTTCACTTGATATAATTATCATAAGTATATAAAATTAGGTGATTGGTACTCCGGAGACTTTGCTTAGAGAACCTGATAAGTGAATTATGTGTTCTAATTGATGAGATCCTCTCTTCCCTTTATTCTTTACGGTTAGTTTCCACACAAATTATACTCGTCAAAAGAGAAAGAACATGATATAATTATCTACTAAGAGAGTTTGTGTTACTTCAGCATTCTTTTGGTTGCTTTTTAATGTTATTCTGCTGGAAAAATTACCCAGCAACTAAAAGGGCTTGGATGTGTAATGTAATTGTCAAGTAAATCATACTATAACTAGTTATCAATGAAAAGAGAATCAAACTGGATCTAAAAATCTTTAAATATGGAATTATGCCATGTTCCACGTTTCATATGTATGTCCTGCTGTTGTTTCTTGCAGTATGATATCCACTTATCGATGCCTTTATCGGTATGATCCACTTTTTTCTCTTTGACTCAATAAAACAGGCAGCATAATTCAACTCGGAGGGAGCTGGGCGCTGGATTGTATATGTTGATGAAATTGATAAAATAACTAAGAAGGTATTGCTTTGGATGACCCTCTTGTTAGCATAGCATAACTTTCATACATTTTTATTCTATTGTTTATGTTTGGATCCAAGGCCTAGTGGTTTTGTGCTTGTGAAGTTGAGGTTACTTGCTTTACAGTATATCAAGGTACATGGTTGATGATCTTGTGACAATGTTTGTCTTTATTTGGTCAGCTTGCTTGCTATTGCTTGTATTTCCTCTTAGTATGTTGGGAAATGAAGCCACTCTTAGATTTTCTCTGCTACATGAGTTGTTTATTGAGAAATGGGACTGAATTTACTAATTTAGTTTTGAAATGTTCAATATCTTGCTCTATTCCGATGTGATGCAGAATTAACAGTGTAATGTCTCCACTATTGTTTTACTGATATATATATGTAGAAACATCTCATGATTATTATAAAATGAAACTTGCATCTTATAACTAATGAGTAGTAAATTTCTTTTTGATTGATTTTTTTATGCTGATTATTTCTTTTTGATTGATTTTTTTATGCAGATTATGAGGTGCAGCTTGAATAAATTAGGGATGATAATGGTGATTCAATAACATTTTCAGCATGAGCTATTGGTGATTTTATATATTATTAGTCTATACTATAGTTGGTAAATGAGTTGAATGTAATAGTACTCCTGGTACAGAATTACTATAAAGCTAACTATTTGAACGAGATTTATTAGTATTGGGGAATGGTTCTATTGTGCTACTATCTCGACCAATTGTTTATTAATTAATAGATGCAAAAATTTATAGTAGATAAATAGAAAGGACCAAAATATAAATACAAAAAATTAACTGAAATTTTATGGTTTTAGCGACGGATTAGTTCTTCGCTAAATCTATCGGCGACGAAATTCTATCGTCGCTGAAAGTATTACATGTGTGATGGCAGAGCTTTTTTGCGATGAAACATTCCGTCGCTGAAAACTTGCGACGACCTACACTCGTCGCGAATAATGTATTCTGCGACGAAGTGGATCGTCGCCAAAAAGTAATGCTTCAGCGACGAACGACACCTTTAGCGACGCTTGCACTATATTCGTCGCAAAACGCCTAGGGCGACGCGGTATACGCGACGGAAACAAATTGTCTACAGCGACGAAAACTACCGTCGCAGATACCATTTGCGATGAATTTTTGACTTTTTGCGACGAAAATTGTCGTCGCAGAAGGTCTTGTTTGTTGTAGTGCCACATGATTATCTTTGGTCAGTCTGCTTACAGAGACCAGATTACAACGTGAAACCTGTCTGTAAATCCACTAAACCCACATGTTTGACTGGAATGCTATCCCCATTGGGGATGCGGACTGGTTGTCCATTAATCGGAACTTCCTTACGTGATAACATAGATTCATCCATGGTAATGTTCTCATTGCAACCAGAATCTATTAACCACTCAGAATCGTAGGAAACAATACCTTCCATGTGTGCCGAGGGGTCATCTGTCGGCTTGCCAGAGTATCCGAAAAACTGTTTGAGCTGATCGAGCTGTGCTAGAGTGAAACCGGGTACTGGGCTTGCCTCAGCCTCCACCTGTGAAGCCTTGGGCTCTCGGCCAGAACCCTCATTCGCTCCTCGATTCCTTCGACGTGGGGGCCTGTCGCCATTCTTCTCACCATTTTTGTCTCGGGGAGGATAGCCTATTAATTCATAGCAAGCTTCACGGAGATGACCAATGCGCTGACAGTGTGTGCAGCGAGGTCTCTCCCGCTGCTCCCCCGTGCTCCGCAACTCTCCAACATTGCGTTGGCCTCTCTCGGTTTCTCCTTTGGCCACAAAAACGGCTGCTTCAGGCTGGACTTTGCGGTTTTGTGTGATGGCCTTTTGTTGTTCCTCATGCATCACTATGTTGAAGGCCTCGGCAAGGTTGGGAGAAGGCTTCATTGCAAGAATTTGAGTACGAACAGGACCAAAGGCATCATCGAGCCCCATAAGGAAGTCATACAAATGAGCATTCTCCTGTTGTTCTCGAGCTCGGCGTGCCACTCCACAAGTGCATAAGCCACATGTGCAAACCAGGGAAGGTGCGATAGCCGCTGCCTCTTCCCATAGAGACCGAAGTCGAGTGTAGAAAGCCGACACCGTATGTTTTTCTTGCTGGAGCAGAACGATGAGTCGCCGTAGCTCGTAGGCTCGATAAGAGCTCCCTTGACCAAACCGCGCACGAAGATCGGCCCATATCTCAGCGGCGATTTCAGCGAACCTAATACTGCTGCGGATTTCCTTGTCCATTGAAGTTTTGAGCCACCCTTTTACATGGCGTCACAGCGTAGCCACGCGGATCGTTCAGCAGGACTGGTCGGTTTGACGATGCTACCATCTAACAAGTCGTACTTATTTTTGGCTATCATGGCGTCTTTCATGTCAATTACCCATTCGCCGTAATTTGATGCCGTTAGGATTTCGCCAACGAGCATATTTCCAGGACTGTCAGAGTTGTGAAGCTGGAGGGCGGACGGGAGATCCTCCTCCGTTTTGATCGTCGAGCTGTGGGACGCTTCCTTGGATCCATCATCCTCGTTTTTGCCACTCATGATTGATGGTCGACAAAGGAGACCACTGCACTGGAGCTTAGTGCTCTAATACCATGTAAAATTAGACGAGAATTAAGAGAGACGAAGGTTTAACGTGGTTCTTCCTCACAGTGTGTGAGGCTAACGTCCACGGAGAATGATGGTGATTTTATTGCTTGATGTGGCCGATGGCCTTACAGCCGTTTATATACCCTATTCTACAAGTATCATCTAGGGTACAACTGCTTCTACGATTACAAGGAGGAGAAGGAGTCCAACTTCTGCACGTCAAAGCTGCTAGTGCATGGGCCACTGCATGGGCTTGAGGGGCAACGTTGGAGACGGCTTTCTCTGTCTTCTCTGGTACGGCCTCTCAGCCCAATACTCTCTGATTAGGAAACCCAATGATGGTCGACGAAGATGAGCCCAGTTGAGCCATGCTCTAGAGCTTTCAACCCATAAGAGGAAGATATATATTTGGTTGTTGCTTTGTGGTGGCTGAATCTGAATGTGTTGTTTTCATGTGCTTTTTATGCAGGAAAATAATGGTTGTGTTTGAAATCACATTTAAGAAGAGGTCAAGGTGGTTCTAAACAACCCAGTCGGTTGAAGAAGAAAACGACAAGGGCTTTTTTGGTGTTGCGGAATCGGCGGCACTAGGATAGTAGGGGAGGAAGGTTGGTGGTGTTGGTAGGAGGACGATGAATGAGCGTCGCGATGACTGGGGTATTAGGGGCGGAAGGCTGGTGGTGTTGGTAGGAGGACGATGAATGAGCCTCGTGGTGGTGGTGGGGATTGAATAAGTTGAAGATGGAGTCCCCATTTTTTGTTCTCTTTCTCTGCTAACAATTAGGTCAAGTTTTCCGATGGTTTTTTTTTCCTCGATCTTAAGACAATGACCAGTAGTGTTTCATTGATTATCCTTGCAATATTTAGTTCTTATTGTTGGATTATTCAATTAATTATGACATGCTATATGTTATTCCTCTACAGCAACATGGAAGCTACAATTGGTGTTAGGAGCTAAACTACATGTGGTTGCAGGTGCAATAGACAAGGAGAAGGAGTTAATCCACAAATTGGTATGTGTTTTATTCTTCTCCTTCCTGTTGATTTCTGCTTTCAATTTATTATATTGATTTCTTGGAGTTAGATTTGAAATAGCAGTTTTGGACTAGCTCTTCGGTTATATAAGCATGTTTGTTAATAAATGTAATACCTCAGTCTTTGGAACTTCACATTTTAGTGAGTATACACGATATGAAAGATTAATCCTGGTTTCATGCCACTCTCTTATTAACTGAATTAATTGACTTCAGTGACTGGTGGTGGTTTCCACCCCCAAATAACATGTTCAAGAATCCTTTTTGCTTTTTTCGTAATGGGTGGCTTTGTTTCCATCCCCTAAACACAGTTAAAAACTTATGCTTGCTTTTCGCATGTATTTCACCATGTTTCTCTATGATGAAAGCCAATTAATGCTTGCTTTTGCAGGTACATTTCCCCATCCTTAATAGAAACTGAAGATGGTATAGAACCATAGACAGCTATTATCATATTTTCTGGGGCCATCGAAAGGTTACCTGTGTTTCTTCAGGAAGAGGTTGAACTTGAACACCCCATAACTTCATTGGGCACTGGGAGTTGCATAGGAAAAAATGAGTGTCGGGCCAACTAAACTTCTAAATAAGATGCTTGAACAAGATGATGGGAAGTTTAATTGTTATGCCCGTATGGCAGTTCTTTTATGCCCCTGGATGGTCAACTTGGTACCCACGTTTCAGTTTCAAGTATGACTCTTCTACTCTCTAATCTCTCTTCTTAACTTACACCACTCACTCTGCATTTTATTTTTCATACTTTTATTGGATTGATACTTTAAGAATTTTTATATTATTATTTTGTTTAGGTCTTCCTATCAATATTTGTCCAGTTATCAATTTTATTTAATCACCACTTTAATAGACAGTGGCAGCAAAACATGATAGCGGTGGTTTATAAATTGCATTTGAACCATCCTTTATGATTCTGAAGCTTCGTTCTTGGTAAGTCCTAGATGTGTCCATAACTGTTAGCATAACTGAAATTCTTTCTAATCAATGAGGTAGTGACGTATAACAAAGTTTCGTGATTGGTAGGTACCTCAACCTCCTACTGATTTTACACTCCTTTGTAGTCTATAGATTTTTGTAGTGTGGAATCAGCGGCGACTAGGGTGGAGGGAGTGGAAGGGGAGGAAGCTGGTGGTGGTAGTAGGAGGATGAGGACTGAGTGTAGCAGTGGTGGTAGGGATTGAAGCATTTGAAGATGGAGAACCCCATCTTTTGTTTTCTTTCTCAGTTATTTATCAAAATGTCAGTTTGAGAGAATAAAATTATCATAATTCGCTAAGCAATGTGTGTCGGTGTTCATATTGTAAGGGCTTGGTGTGTCAAATTCTGCTTTATACGAGATTTATGTCCGATCACTCTTCATCCAGAACTCGATGTGAGAATTCTGCTTCTAATCTTTTTCCTTAGTTTAAAAGTTATGCTCAATGTTTTCATATATAATTAAAATTAGTTCTAGGTATGGTACAGTGCTTGGAGAGGGAGGGTTTGGTAGGGTTTATAAAGGTTGGCTTGACGAGTGCATAACTATAGCAGTGATGTTTGGATTTGTATTTCTTTTCTCATTTCCATTTCAGCTCTGGTTTTCATTCTCTCATCAATAATGCCAAGTCTAGTCATTTTCTCAATGTTTATTTAGCTGCTCAGAGGTTCAATTCATTGGCCAACGAGTCCATTTTTTGTTGTTTGCTTCAGTTTGTTGCAGAGTGTGGATGCTGTTTCATCAATACTCTTATTTAGCTGTTTAGAGTGCTCAATGGTAGTGGTTTCCCTGTTGTTTGCAAGTGTGAAGCTTGGGAGTTTTGGATTGGACGGTAACCATCTTATTTGGACTACAACATATAAATTTGGTGAGATTCTAGGTTACTCTACTGTAGGTCCTCTCCTAGAAGTTTCAGTCAAAAGGAAGAATGCTGCTAACATTATGTTCTCTAGAAGATGAGCCTTAGTATTTGTGTATGGAAGCATTTTACATTATGCATTTAATTTGTCAATTCTCTATTTCTTAGCATTCTGTAATTGTATGGAAATAGCACTACTGCTTTCCTAGAGTTCCAGATATAATGAAGTGCAATGTTGACTTGATTTGTATTAAGGAATGCAGAGCATGATAATTAGGAAGTTTCTGAAATTAAAGCTTGATCGAATAACAATGTTGTCTAGATCTATCTGAATCTGATAACGATTTTATTATTTTCTTATATATAATAATGACAACATGGATTTAGCAAATGTGCAGAACAATTTCTTATATTTGTATTGATACCCAAAGTTTCATCACCATATTTCTAACAGTTGTAAATGCATATTACAACTTAAGCATGGTTTTACATGTCCTATTTAATATATAATTAAATTGCAGCACAACCACAACTAGGTTCTATATTGATGTGGAGAGCATCGATTTTTAAACATATCCTTTCTTGGTAGCAGTTAGTTCTGCAACTTACCATTAACGACCAAACTAAATCAATCATTTGCCAAAATTAACATATACTTTTTCTGAACTTTAATATACCAAGGTTATTAATTTTAGCTAAATCGGATTCAAATTGACTGTTTTTCATGAACACGCTTCCAATCCCAGCCTAGTTATTCTGCTAACTGCATAAGTTGTTAGTATATACTAACTAATATCCAAAATGTATGAACTAGTATCCAAGTCTACGGATTTTACTAAAGTATCTAGATAACCCAGACTAGTATTCAAAAAATCACAAACTAGTATCCAGATAGCAGATACCAACTAATATCCACAATCAACCAACTAGTATTCAATATGGATACTCTTATAGGTTATATGGATACTCTTATGTGTTATCTGGATACTAATTATGTGCTGTTTGGATACTATTTTGTATTGTCTAGATATTAGTTTGTGAATTTGGGATAATAGTTGATTCATGGTGGATATCAGTTAGCAAACTTTGAATACTAGTCTGTGCTCTCTAGATACTTTAGTACTTGGATATTAGTTCATGTAATTTGAATATCAGTTAGTATCTGCTAACGAATCTTCAAGTTAGCAGATTAACTTTCTTCCTTCCAATACACTAAAACTCACATCATTGCCAATTATACGACGGTTCTTATCTATCATCACCTAAATTGCCCGATCAAGTTGATGCAATTTTGTTAGTCCCCGTGGCCATTAATTCTAGTATATTTGACAAAAAGGTGATGTAATATACATTTGCCATGTGTACATACAAGAGTTTTCATCAAAGGAAAAGGAAGTAAAGAAAAACTATCGAATTTGTTCAAGGAAGTAAAAGGAGCTTCCGACACACTGTAATGGCTGCCTGCTGTGCTGGCTCTCACCAAATGAACCCTTAACAATACCTGTCCACTGCCCAAACGAAACGGGCATCTGTCTCCTTCCTTTCTATGCCTGCCTGACTGCCGTTGAGTCATTGATGCTTGTGCTGCTGCCCATTAGGCATTAAAACCATTCTAGTGCATTGCAGAGCAGTTTTGTGGGCAAATTCTCAGTCCCAACGCGCCATCTCTCCTCACGTTCTTCCATGCGCCAAACACCGACTAGTCTACTACCGTCCCACGTAAAAGTCGACAATCTTTCCGTAGATTTACATTTCCTCCATTCCTTCCTTTAATTTACATCTACTCCTCCTAAAAGCTCTACAAACCACCTTTTTTTTAATTCATCGCTTTCCATTTTGTCGAATTTACAAAAGGGTTTCCGGTTTTATTTTCGGGTCGGGTTCTTCGCCGTGTCAGTCCGCATAACTGCTCCGATCAGGCCTGGTTATGATCCTCTTCTTTTCTTTAAATCAAATTAGGCTTGGAGCGTAGTATCAGGGGAGCCCAGGGGGAAACACGTGTCCTCCCCGCCGGTCGTCCACAAGAAGCTGGCGTAACTAGCAGCGTAGAAAGGATTGGCCGGGTCCGCAGCAATGGCTTCCAAGAACGTCTCCTCCGCCGCCCACAGGTCGTCCCTCACTTTCCACAGGAAGTTGGCGTATTTGTTGAACGCCTCCGCATCCACCGGCTCCGTCCCAACCGCCCTCTTGAAGTACTCCTCCGCCCTGCAAATAATAACAACGCCGGAAAAAGGATCAGTCACCATTATAAAAATCGGCGACGGAAAAGTGGCAAGGCTTAAGATCAACAAAGTAACGAAGACGGGTCACGGGGAGAAGGTGAGGAAGAAAGTAAGGGTGCCCACTTAAGTCTCTGCATTGAAAAGTATGCAACCAAACCAAAACCACACACTACCCATCTCATCTCAAGATCACGCTAGCTAGATTTTGTAAGCATGAAAAGAGACGAAAAGTCAGAAGCTGAAACGTGAACACCCCTGGCCCCGCGCCTTAATTTCCTTCAGCGTGCAGCGAATCTGGAATAAACTATCGTCATATATACTCCCCCGACCCGTTTCTTTGACTCGGCTACCGAATTGGGAAGTAGCCATTGGACCCCCGGTATGGACACACAGTGTGACTGAAAGCAATAATGATGATAACAGTAACAACAATGGAGTTTAAGATGTTAAGGACATGGATCAGTATACCTGTCGTGGTCATGGGAAACAAGGCTTAGGAACTGGGCATAATTGGCGAGCAGTAGAGGGTTGTTAGGGTCTTCTGCAAGTCCAGTTTGGTACAGCAACTCCGTCCGCAGATAGTCGCCGTAATCGTCGGATTCGATGTTGGCTTCGATGGGTGAAACGAATCTCTTGATGGTCTCTGCATCGATCTTCAATCCTTGAATTCCTGCGGCTTCCTCCACCATCGAATTCCATATCTCCGAAGCTTCTTTCTCTCGGCCCATCCCCTGCTCTGCCTCTTGGCTCGTACCTAGTGCTGACAATTCTGATGCACAATCAGGGACTATCGTCCTCAATTCTTCCGACCCATCTAATGAACCGTCTCCCTCTGTCCCACTGCCGACTGGTCTAACCTTGCCGCCATCACCACCGCCCCCGCCGATGGAAGCGGATTTCCCAGCAGGGGATGACAAGGAAAAGGTCTTGGCCATTGACGAATGGAACTTGTGGTTTATCTGGTCTCGAGTATCGAGAACAGACACGCTTTCCATCGTATAGGAGGCTGGCGGGGGTGGAGCGGCGATTGCATACTGGCTGCCCATGGAGTACACCGTGAAATTGGCAAGGAGAATCATCACGGACACCATGAGAGTAGGTGTATGAGAAAACACCTGCTGAAACAACCACACGAATGAATCGTTCATCTCCTTCTGGACCCGGGCCAGAATCCCTTGTAGATCTTCCGTGAAAAGGAACTCTCTCATCAGCAATGTGTAGCTCTGGATCTCTCGTATTATGAACACCATAGAGGAGAACGCCTTCTTCACTGAGCAACAAGCGGATTCCCCTGCCTCCATCAATCCTTCCTGCCACTGCATCTTTCTTTTTATGATTCGGAGCGATACTGGGATATCCACGCTGTTCGCCTTCCGCTCAATGCTCGCCGGAATCATATCGTGGCTCCCCGGCCAATCTTGGGACTCCCTACTGATGTCCGGCCACGGAGGCTCCACCGGGAATCGCCTGTGATCGTGCTCCATATTTACAAAATCTTCCCTGCCCGAATGGCAAGGATGATTACTCGCTGTTTCGGGATGGAAACCTGCCGTCAATTCCAAATCCGCGCCATCGTTCGAGTTTTGGAATCTGAGAGCCAATTCTTGAATTTCCTTGGAAAATTCCTCGTCGGAGAAGGCTTCGCTTAGGCTCGCACTGCAAGCTCTCCTCAGCGTCTGTGCTCTTCTGGGCCTGGCATACGCGGAAGACCTTGTCCTGTAGATCTTCGACGATGATGCTCCTAATAGAGCCAATCTGTCAAGGCGATGTACATAACAGCACACGAGCGCTGCCGCGCCTTCTGCCTGGCACCGCCGTTTCGAAGACGACGGAGATGAGATTGCGGAGGCTAGGGTTCCGTAGGAAGACGACGGACGATGAGGTATAATTTGCTTCGACCACTGAAAACAAGCAGTAGATGCTTCCATTACCGCCGGTAAAAGGTTTTCCAGAAAATCGCCCAACAGAGACTGGTTTGGTGGGAGAAAGGCGGAATCAACCACCGGCGAAGCGTCAGATCTGGTAAAGCTTTAACTGAATCGACTTCACCCCTCTTTTTTCTTTCCCTCCAACTTTTCCTTGCCTCCTTTTACGCAAAAGCCTGAAAGGGGAAGAATCAAGAGCCAAACAAAATGAGCCTCATCTGATCTCTCTCATAACCAAAACCAAAACGAAAGGGAAAAAAAAATAAGAATCCACAAAAATTGCGAAAATGAAATCCCGGTCAATCTCTCACACGCCGGGCACCACCTCGGCACAGGGAAAACACGGCGAGACGCAGAAAACAGTAGTTTTCCCGGGAAACAAACAACCAGAGAAACACAGTCGGAATCCTCGAAACCAAACACTACTTTCCCGGAAAAATCGGATCAAATGAAAAGTGTAATGGTGGAAGCAATCAAAGCGTCACATATATAGAGGAAAGCGGAAACAGAGTTATTGACGAAGAGAGGCGGGAAAAGATAGAAACGCACCTCAATTTGGGAGGACAGTCTCTTTCTTCAGTGGTTTGATATTTCTTTGGTCGGCGAATAATTCCGGCGAGGATGAGAAGAAGAAGCGAAGTCCTGGGCGGCACTTCACTCTGTCAGGGAAGAGAGGAATTCGTTCCCTCTGTCACTTATATATATGGCCACTGCACAGGACAGGCAGACTAACGCTGAAGGAAAAGGACAAAAATGATTGTCAGAGTACCCTTTCCGGTTAAAAGGGAATTAAACAAATAATAATAAAGGGCAGGAAAAAGTAAATTTTATTACTTTGCATATGCGTGGGGCTGGGTTACCGGAAGGGCGGGTAGTCGGCATCCGGCTTGTTAAGCTTGGGGCTGGATCTGCGCGGGCCGCGCGGGGCTGCCCTGAATCCCAGATCTACGGCGGGGCTGGCACGGCTGCTAGAAGGTAAGTGGAAGGAAGCTGATATTTGAGTCCAACGCGGCTCAATTCACGGACGATCTGGTTCCCATCATGCCATCACGGGATGCCACGTGTCTACTATGACCGCCACCTCTGTTGCTAATTGGTCGAGTTTGGAAAATAACCGTGATTTCCACCGACCCACTTTATATTTGCTCTCTTGCCACCTGTTACGTATTAAGGACTAGGGATGGCAATAGGACCGGTTTGTCTAAACCATCTACATTTTCAAATAACTAAATCCATACCCGCTCTATACCCATGCGGGAATGTTTTGCAAACACATCCTCATACTCGTGGGTTTCGGGTACCCATGGATAATACCCATATACGTACATCCAACATTATTATACCTAAAACTTACAAGAAAAGTTTTAATTATAACTCTAAACGAACATATTATATCATGAAGTTAACAAAACACAGTCATTTTTTTAATATGGTTCAAAGAATATGATCCTAAAATATCCATTAATACATAATATAGAGTATAATATTTTTCAAATTATTGTGTTCTAACTTTGATACATCTATTAAGTAATAATTAACTAACATAATCTTGTTGACAAGGGGGAAAGTGAAAGAGTGAAATGAGAATTGAGAGAAATGAATTAGATTTTGATTAAGATGGTCACTCAAGTGCATTTCCACTAATTATTTTCTCAAGTTATCCTCATCATCATTGATAGATTATAACTTGATGCACATATTTTTTCATATATGAAGAAATTCAATTGGTGCGGCGGGTATGGGTATGGGTATGGGGCGGGGAGGCTAAAACAAAACCCGCCCCATACCCATCAAACTTTTTGTGGGTTTTACCCATACCCGCCCCATACCCGGTCAAAGCGGAGATTCCCCGCGTTGATTGGGTCGGGGGCGGTCGGATACCCGCGGCCATGGGTTTGATTGCCATCTCTATTAAGGACCGGAAGCCCGAATGAGGTGGCAAAGGAGTGGCTTTTGATCGAGGATTGAAAATCGTATTGTATTAGCTGTTCGATCGGAAATAATTTCAATTTAAATGGTATTTGACAGTATAAAATAGCTAAACCATAGTTAAACTAAGATTTCAACATAAATTATTGTATCATTGACGTTTCTGGTACAATAACTGCTACAATTTGACAATTCTTGCTTTTGACAACAAACAAAACACATAAACATCATTGGTTTTGTGTTTCATCCTATGGTTATTATTGTTACGATTTTTGAGCGGGGCATTTTGGTCTTGTGAATTTGCTAATGACGCTTATTTCTGGGCAGGGACGCCTGTTCTTTCTTCTTCAAATGACTTTTCACTTTTTAGTCTCTTCTACTCCTCAATTGTCTTCATTTTTATCCTGTGCAGTTTTTCGACGTTTATTTCTCCATTTTCATAGATAAACGATTTTTTTTTTGTCTTCTTTTGTTCTTCATGTGTGGCTATTTATATATATTTGTGATTCACTAATACGAATGTATTTTTTACTGGCGTTTCTATGTTATATCATTGTTTACAGTAGCGAAACTAGAAGTCCGTATTAGGTGTATCCTTCTATATGATAACAAATATTGAAAATATATATTTAAATAAATGATTAATTCATTGGTGAAAAAATAACCAGTTGATACAAGTACCAACTTTCATCAGTGAATGAGTAATTTGTTGGTAAGTCGATGGACTAGAGTTAGGTTTACATTATAACTTTGGTGAATGACCTACACGTGACTCGTAATTAGATACGTTTACTAGTTTAGCTAGTTAACAACTTAACATTATTGCAAGTACTCTACAACAACAACCGTCAATGATATATAATATACGTTCTAGTAATATATTTGCTTTGGCCATTTGGAACTGGAAACTCGGGATTAAGGAAAACTTTTACCATGCATGCAAAACTCAATCAGCATGCATGCTGATACGGCAATAGTAATTAATCCACCTATTGGCTGCTAATCCGGTAATCCCCTAAGTGAAAGTTGGCTTAATTAAGATAGTAAACTTGTTATAGGACTAGTGTTAACAGCAAATAATAAATAATTGGCCATCTGAAACCGCTGTTAGGTGAAAGTAAGTAAACAAAGGAGGAGTTGGTACGAACTACAAACCTTAAGCACACATATATAGAGTGACATGTGCGATAGAGAATGGCCCAGCCAGGCCAGGCCAGGCACATAGTGATTGGTTAGTTAAGTGGGAAACTCTTCCGGATTTGTTAAAGATGGGGAATTGTTAATGACCATTGATTTAAATAATGATATCTCGAGCTAAGGTCTAATTATTAATATATTATATTATCTTCTCATGTGCTTATTTTTCGTTGGTTTTGTTCAAAACATTTAAGTTAATTTCGTGGCCGTCACATCAGTTTTATTTAACATTTTCTGTATGGTATTCTGCAGATATTAAAAACATGACGAAAATGGAAAATAAGGCAGGTAGCAAACCGAGCATACTATGCCAAAAAAGATAATGGAAAATAATTCGGTAGGGAAACTGGAAAGATAAGAAATATCTAGCTGCAGTTGCAGTGCAGGCTGGGGAGAGAGGGAAGAGGTGAGGTATTGACGGTCCAGAATCGAACGAAGTTGAGGAGAGAGAGAGAGAGAGAGAGAGAAGGCAATGAAAAAGGCTGCCAGTCCTACCCAACTTGCATATGCAGTCCGGGTAGTGAGTGTTTACATCAGCTGCGGCCTGCGGGGGGAATTGGCATTTGGCAACCGATGGTGACAGCGACTGCCGCAGATCAACGGCTCCTATTTGCTGGTTGCCAGATTTTTATGACCACTCTATACGAATTGAACGATGATCGTCCAAAACAAACAAATGTTATTTTTTTTATATAATATTTGGTTTCTTACGTGCGATGCGAATAATAATTATTATTATTGTTATGAAATGATGATATGAATCTCTTTGTCCGTAGGCTGGCCCGTACCATCGTCAAGCAACTTGCAGCGCGCAAGAAAATGGAAAAAAAATAAAAAAAATTGATGGAGCAGCTGCATGTGATCTTTTTCTTAATGCACATTGGCAGCTGTAAATCAATTGCTTGATGACCAGGGTTATTGACTTAACACTTAACAATTAATCACTCATGCTAAAGGTCTGGTGGGCGGATCCAGATACTTCGTTCGTTCTAAGTTTTTGTGCCAAATTTACTATTTTAGTAAAAATACAGTTTCGATAATTCTAATTCATATACTGTAAGTACGAAATAATTGATGTAATATTATTAAAAAAATATAAATATGCGTTAATTTAATTTTTTTTACTTATTTATAACAATTTTTAACTAAAAGACCACACTCGCGCGTTTGATCAAGCCCAATGGGCTTTAATTCAATTCCCCATAAAAAATGGAAAAAATCCAAAACTACCACTGTTTAAAAAAATTTTACAAAAATAACACTCACTCCAAATAATTTCCAAAAATACCATCGTTTATATATAACCGCGCCTCTAATGAGCGGTTTTTAATGAAACCGCGCCTCCAGACAGCGTTTATATCACAAACCGCTCCTCCAAGGCGCGGTTTGACCTTGCATGGCTGTCAAAACGCGTGGCCACGTGGCGGTGCATCAAACCGCGCGATGGGAGAGCGATCTGAACGACCCTCCCCCACGCGGTTCGTACCCTATATAAACCCCCTTCCCCCTTCATTTTTCTGCACACCAAACTCATTCCCCCCTCTCTCCCTCTAACTTCTCTTTACCCACCCCCCTCCCCACCCAAAAACCTTAGAATTAGTTATTTTGTTGGTTGCGGCTAAGTCCGATCTGCCTCCAAAAAACTTTTTCTTTGGTTTTCACTAAAAAAACCGTCGAACCTCTGTCCGGATTCCGAGAGAATGGCCGATTTCGCTCAAGAAGATGGCCTTTTTTATGATGATTATCAAACAGTACGTACTCATTTTTCCCAATTGTTGTTGTTGTTATAATGATTTATTTAATTTATATACTAATGATTTATGTTATTGTTATGCTATCGTAGGTTGGGCCGGATGTTGATATTTTCAATCAACGATATTATGTTGATCAAGGACCGATTGATCCGACAGTTTTATACGATCAAGCAAATCATCGTTCAAGAGACGTTTGAAACGACCACAAGGTACATATTATTTATCATCACTTGTAATTTGTATTTTGTTAAAGTAATTTATTTGTTTGTACAATAATTTACTTAATTGTTAATCGTATTGATTATTTTCAATAATTTAAATCAATACAATACAACACTTATTTAGACTCTTTATAAAGAAATGCATGTTTAAGGAAATGGGGACTTAAGCGATCATCATGATCCCCCCCATGACCTGGGAAAATCCGGTTCTAAGCGATCCTCGGATCCCCCCTTTTTCTGTCAAAAAGACTGTGTTTCTAAGGAGATGTATACCTCTCCTAAGAGTCTTACGAGTGTACTTGTATTGCTTTAAATTATTGAAAATAATCAATACGATTAACAAAATAATATATTTTAATATTCTTTTAGTTATGTTAATATTAATGTTTATTAGATAATGTATATTTCTATAAAACCGCTTGATTTAATTAATATTGCATCTTAGAAAATTATTTTAGTTTATGTTAAAATTAATGTTTATTAGATAATGTATATTTCTCTAAAACAACCTTGATTTATATATAAATTGTATCTTATAATATATTTATATATGTATAAATCATCAACTTATAGTGA